ACTTGACCCTCAAGTCATTGAGGGAAAGTGTGAGAAACACTGATATGCTGGAAGACAATGGAGCATATTGAGGAATTGGGGTCCCTGGCAACATGTGCTATAAAGACCATCCCTGGTATTGCCTCACATACACATTGCAATGAATGTCCTTTCATAGCTTCTGCAACATGTCATTAAATTAAAAAAAGAATCTAATGATGCCCATGCTCTTTATTTGTAGTAGGGGTACTCTTTTTTTTTATGTATACAACCTGTGGCTAAAATGTAATTCCACTTTTGCTGAGAAAATAAAAAACAATCAACTTTGGTTAAATGTACATTACAAGGATTTTAACTAACAAATTAAACAAAATGTATTGTGCTGTAAAAAAAATTCAATACAGTGCATAAATGTGACAATAATTCATTAAAAAATAACAAAATCCCCAGTAATTCAATAGTGACATAAAATATACAAGTACATGTAAAAATGATATAATAAAAGTCCAACAGCCAAATTAGTGTAGAGAAATCATGCTAAATCTATTGCTTCAGGTAACAAAAAAAGTGACTGGTGCTTGCAATCCTCACCGCCATGCGTGCCACCCAGGGAAAAAAAAAGGCCTCATACCAGAAGCAAAGACTTTTAGATCAATGTCTTCCCCCACTTTAGGGAAAGAACCCAGTGAGGGCTGGATGGATCAACACTTGAACTCCAGTGGCAGTCAGCCTTTGGTATGATTAATATGGACCCCACTCACAACACCGCAGTCAGGTACCGGCCCTCTAGCTTGTCTTTCTATTATGAGAGATGAAGTGATCTGGCAGGTCTGTGACCAGTGTAAATATTAACAATCCTCATAACAAGTAATTTGCTGGCTTTACAATGAAAAATTCAAAACAGAGTGAAAAATTTTAGCACGATTAGGATGATGAAAGTCCTGAGCAGGGGCGGACTGACCATTTGGAAACTCGGGCACTGCCCGAGGGCCGGGGTCAGTAGGGGGCCCCATAGATGCCCCTGGTACCTTTTTCATAGGCTTTTTTGAGTTTGGGCAAGGACACAGGGGCCCCATGATCCCCTATTGCCCGGGGGGCCCCATGAGTTGTCAGTCCACCCTGGTCCTGAGCCACCCTAGGATAAACAGAAAAATGAGCTTGATCAGTGCACAGGACCATATTTTCACTAACAGTGGGAGGTGCTTAAAGGGGGATGATTAAACAGAATTTGTACCTATTCCCACTGGACACATACAGTATAATAGTCCTTGTATCTCCAAAATACTCCTAATTACTGTACTGCAACCAACAGCCTCACAGACACAAATAAACCTCAGGACAAAAGATCATTTTTAAAAATATCTACCATTTCTTTTGTGAACACAAAAAAGGATATTATTTTGTCTGAGTGAGCCTATCTTAAAGCAGAGCTCCAGTCTCCGGTGAAGAAAATAAAAGTCATCAGGTACAAAACTGCAACTGATGATTTTTACAAAACAGCCACTCACCTTTCCCTCAATCCCGTGTATACTCACTGCAGCCGGGTCCACCAGCCATCCTCTGTAAAGCCAGCATCTTAAGTGTGGGCACCCGACTGTGACAGCTTTTGGCTTTACAGCCAGGTGCCCACTGCGCATGCGCGAGTAATGCTGCGTATGGTGAATGGTCCTACAGTATTCTGGGATCTATCATGTGTCCCAGAAGACTGGGGGAGGATTTTGCTTCCAATTGCCTAGGCGGCCGGAGCGGAAGTGGGAGCGGGTACCTGTCAAAATCGGGTACCCGCTTCCTAAAGGTGCCAATTCCTAACAGGTAACAAGGGATGAGTCGTTGAAAGTGCAACTTCCCCTTTTGGGTGGAGCTCTGCTTTAAAGAAGAACTTCATTAACTTTAACACTTCAATAAAGGACACTTTCACCCCCTTCCTGCCCAGGCCAATTTTCAACTGTCAGTGCTGTCGCACAATTGCGCGGTCATGCAACACTGTACACAATTTAAATTTGTATCCTTTTTTGAGACAGCGCGCTTTTTTTGGTGGTATTTAATCATCTCTGTGTTTTTTTATATTTGCTAAACAAATGAAAAAAGACTGAAAAAGTTCCTTTTCTTAATTTCTGTTATAAAAATGTGCAAATAAGTACATTTTCATCTTCACTGATGGGTGCTGATGAGGCTGCACTGGTAGGCTGCATTGATGTTACTGATAGGCTGCACTGATGCACTGATGAGGTTGCACTTATGGGCACTGATGTGGCTGCACTGATGGGCACTGATGAGGCTGCATTGATGAGGCATGCACTGATGAGGCTGCACTGAGGGCAATGATAAGCTGCACTGATAAGCTGCATTGATGGGCACTGATGAGGCTGCACTGATATGCTGCACTGATGGACACGGATATACTGCACTGATGGACACGGATTGGCACTGATGGGACTGCACTGATATTCTGCACTGATGGGCACTGATATGCTGCACTGACGGGGCTGCACTGATCATCACGGAACTGATGATCAGTGCCCTGATTATGAGTGTAAACATTCCCCCCTGCCACAGGAAAGCCGGAGGAAAAGAAATACTAATAAAAGCTAATTGTTTACATTTGATCAGCTGTGATTGGACACAGCTGATCACATGGTAGAGAGCCAATATCATTGGCTTTTTACATTGATCGGTGATAAGCTTTGCCCACCAATCACTGCGCTGTGCATCCCCACGAGTGGAGTGACCAAGATGACATCATATGATGTGCACCCAGAAGGATGAAAGGCTCTCACGGCTGTCAATCTGCAATGGGGGCCGGACGGGAACCAGTTAACCAGCATCTGTTGAGATAAAGAACACCTTGGTCAGGATTATGTAATGTACAACATTATGTATAGAGTGCAAGGGTCAGAAGTAAGTAACATACAAAACAAAATGCAAAGTGCAACAGTCAGTGTGAACCTTCTGTTCACAGCATAGTCCCCACTTATATCAAAATCCCCAGCATTACATTACCCTATACGTCAGGGTTGAAAAGAGTCCATCCTTACACCACAGAATCCACAGACTTCCTACTTACACAAGAGTGCCCCATCATTAGTGTCAGTGGGAGGAATAGTGCTTCATCATTGGTGTCAGTGGGAAGAATTGTGCCCCATCATTGGTGTCAGTGGGAGGAATAGTGTCCCATCATTGTGTCAGTGGGAGGAATAGTGCCCCATCATTGGTGTCAGGGGGGGGAATAGTGCCCACGTCATTGGTGTCAGGGGGGGAATAGTGCCACGTCATTGGTGTCAGTGGGGGGGAATAGTGCCCCAACATTGGTGTCAGTGGGGGGGGGATAGTGTCCCAACATTGGTGTCAGTGTGGGCGGAGGAATAGTGCCCCATCGTTGGTGTCAGTGGGGGGGGGGGAAATAGTGCCCCATCGTTGGTGTCAGTGGGAGGAATAATGCCCCATCATTAGTATCAGTGACACCAATGATGGGGCACTATTCCTCCCAATGACACTTAACTTGCTGACCCCTGCTCTAGCCTAGGTGCTGCTGCAGCCAGGCACACTTACCGGGCAGTGAGCTGTCCTGCTTCATTCACTCCGGGTGGCTCCCTCACTTGATGTTCGTGGGGCCGCTCGGTCCACCTCCTCGCAGGTGATTGGCCGCCTGTGTGCCTTTCCTGAGCTACAGTTCTGGCGCCCAATCACCGGTGAGGAGGCGGAGCCAAGCGGCAGCATAAACATCGAGTGAGGGAGTGCCTGGAAAGAATGAAGGAGCAGTGCTTCCCTGGACTGGATCATTGTGGGGACTGGGACTGGGACCGGAGCCAGGTTAGGACAGAGCAGCCCCCTGCCGTTGGAAGGGGGTGCGGCACCGCGCCGCCCCCCCTAAAAAGTGCCACCCTAGGCAAACGCCTTATTTGCCTCACGGCAAATACGCCCTGGTCACTGTACATGTGCACCTGGTCAGGGCTCCCAGGTATGACCAGAGGTGTGTGACTGAAGCAGGGAAACACAGACCTCAGATATGTTAAAAACAATATAATTTATTAACACTAACAGTACAAACAATAAACGCAGTGCAATACTAAAACATAATACAGTGCAAACAAAACCAAACCACCCACAGATAACAGTACATACAAGAGCAAGCGTCGTCAGGCAGGCCGGGTCAATATCAATTGGGCAGGTAGGTACAGGGGAGCAAGCGGAGAATGGTCGGGGTCACAGGCCAGGTTCAGCAGGTAGCAAGCAGCATAGTACAGAGGGTCAGGCAGAGGGATGGTCCGGGTCACAAGCCAGGGATCAGAACAGGTAGCAAGCAGCGTAGTACAGAGGGTCAGACAGAGGGATGGTCAAGGTCACAAGCCAGGATCAGAGCAGGAGAAGTCAGCAAAGGAACAGAAACAGGATGCAGGACAGATACAGGGCCCAGGACAAACACAACACCAAGGCAGAGTCTGTGGGTCTGGCCATCCCTTAAATACCCCCAGCATCATCAGTTACAGGTGTTAGCTGGCTGCAGAGTTGAGTCTCTGATTGCTGGGAACACCCGCTGGCCAGCCCTGGTACTGCAGATCAAAAGGCAGGTGAGTCCCACCATTGCTGGCCAGTCCATTCCTAACAGTACCCCCCCCTCAAGGGCGCCTCAGGACGCTCCAAACAGTCCTAGCTGGGCAAAATGTTCCACCGCCCGGGTCTCGGGCCCTCAAGCGGAGTGGCAGGTGCCAGACCCCCAGGCGGAGCGACAGGTCTCGGGCCCTCAGGCGGAGCGACAAGGTCTCGGGCCCCCAGGCGGGGCGGCGGGCGCCGGATCCCCAGGCGGGGGCGGCGGGCGCTGGACCCCCAAGCGGAGCAACAGGTCTCGGGCCCCCAAGGCGGCGCGGCGGGCACCGAGTCACCAGGCACGACAGTGGGCTCCGAGTCAACTGGTATGACCGCAGGCACTGGGTCAGACATTGTATGGTCTGGCTGGACAGCGGGCATCGGGTCACCAGGCATCAGGTCATTTGGCTCGACAAGCGGGCACCCGTCATCTGGCAAGGCAGTGGGCTCCGAGTCAACTGGTATGACCGCGGGCATGGGTCAGACATTGGATCGTCTGACTGGACAGCGGGCATCGGGTCACCAGGCATCAAGTCATTTGGCTCGACAGCGAGCACCGCGTCATCTGGCAAGGCAGTGGGCTCCGAGTCAACTGGCATGACCGCGGGCACTGGGGCAGACATTGAATCGTCTGGCTGGACAGCGGGCATCGGGTCACCAGCATCAGGTCATTTGGCTTGCCAGCGGGCACCGCGTCATCTGGCAAGGCAGTGGGCACCAAGTCACCAGGTACGACAGCGGGCTCTGAGTCAATTGGCACGACAGCGGGCACCGGGATCAGGTACCGGATCATCTGGATCAACAGCGGGCATCGAGTCAACTGGCCTAATAGGATCGTCAGGCTGGATCAGTTCATCATGCTGGGTAGAGGCATTAGGCCGAGTAGAGGCTTCAGGCCGAGTAGAGGCATCAGGCCGAGTAGAGGCATCAGGCCGAGTAGAGGCATCAGGCCGAAGTACAGGCATCAGGCCGAGTACAGGCATCAGGCCGCGGAGAGGCTTCAGGCCGAAGTACAGGCATCAGGCCGAGTACAGGCATCAGGCCGAGTACAGGCATCAGGCCGAGTACAGGCATCAGGCCGAGTACAGGCATCAGGCCGAGTACAGGCTTCAGGCCGAGTACAGGCTTCAGGCCGAGTAGAGGCATCAGGCTGCGTACAGGCATCAGTCTGAACCACGGAAGGCAGGTTCACCGGTTTGGATACTGGCAGGATGGTACTGGTTGGAAAGAATTTTCGCTTTTTTCTGGTTTTAACTACTGGAGCACTGCAAGTAAACGCAGGTCTGCAAACGAATGGAGCAGCTGGAGACAGAGAAGAACTGGAGGATGGAACAGGAAAGGGAGCAGTTGCTACAGAGGGCTTTTTTACAGGGTTAAAGGCAGGATAGGTGCAGCGAGTGGGAACAGGGTACTGACATGCGGTAGATAGCCAAGTATACTGGGCTGTAACTGGAGGAGCTGGTGGGAATACAGGAGTAGAGTTAGAAGCAGGACTGGGTCTTTGTAAGCTGACTGAGGCTGGGTGCAACAAATCTGTCCATGTCTGCAGTAGGGGTTGAACAAAGCTGAGCTTACACAAAGTCTGTCTGGTCAATGACTGCACTGCGTTTATACAATCTCTTAGTGTCTGTGTGGATGAACATGTGGAATAATGCTCCAGAAAGTAACCCACATCATCCTCTAATAACCACACCAGGGACTCTACCTGGTCTGCACTAAATGGTGGCAAAAATTCATCCCTGCATTCGGGGGAACCAGATGAAACCAACTCTGCACAAACCTCAATCAATGGCTGCACCTCAGAGAAACACTGTGCCCTGATCTACTAGAACATGAGCGAGCCGTATACATTCTAGCAATTCATCCCGGGTATACTCCTTCAGAGTTTGATAAGCATACTCCCTGTCATCAAACACTAGCAGATATAAATACTCAACCTCATCAAGATCCATCCTTCCCATCAACAAGCCAAGATGGCTTCCCTGTGCAGCCACTTCTGGTCAGGATTGGCCTTGGTGTAATGTCAGGGCTCCCAGGTATGACCAGAGGTGTGTGACTGAAGCAGGGAAACACAGACCTCAGATATGTTATAAACAATATAATTTATTAACACAAACAGTACAAACATAAACGCAGTGCAATACTAAAACATAATACAGTGCAAACAAACCAAACCAAACCACCCACAGATAACAGTACATACAAGCAAGCGTCGTCAGGCAGGCGGGTCAATATCAATTGGGCAGGTAGGTACAGGGGGAGCAAGCGGAGAATGGTCGAGGTCACAGGCCAGGTTCAGCAGGTAGCAAGCAGCATAGTACAGAGGGTCAGGCAGGGGATGGTCCGGGTCACAAGCCAGGGATCAGAACAGGTAGCAAGCAGCGTAGTACAGAGGGTCAGACAGAGGGATGGTCAGGGTCACAAGCCAGGATCAGAGCAGGAGAAGTCAGCAAAGGAACAGAAACAGGATGCAGGGCCCAGGACAAACACAACACCAAGGCAGAGTCTGTGGGTCTGGCCATCCCTTAAATACCCCAGCATCATCAGTTACAGGTGTTAGCTGGCTGCAGAGTTGAGTCTCTGATTGCTGGGAACACCCGCTGGCCAGCCCTGGTACTGCAGATTAAAAGGCAGGTGAGTCACCATTGCTGGCCAGTCCATTCCTAACAGCACCCATGATGTCCAAGGTTGTGTGCTGAAAGCACACTCATTGCATGCTCCCAGGAAACTGGTCTCGGTTTGTGTTTGAGAGCCAGTGGGATGGGCTCCCTGTCATGTGACAACCAATCACAGCAATCACATGACTGAGACAGTGCCTCCCCCTTCTGGTGTTAGGACCCACCCAAAGCGCCATCAGGAGGTGGTGGGAAGGGGTTAATATTTTTTTATGAAAATGGAATTCTCCTTTAAAGGGTAACTCCACTTTCATGGAAAAAGAATTAGCCAAAAAATAGGGTATTCAATTGTGACTCAAGTCATATTGTAATTGAGTGTTATTAAAAATGACCTTTCCTTTTCAAACTGCAGTGCTGTAATTTTCTGTAAAATGCAATGCAACATGGCTACCTGGAGGCATTCTGTATATAGATGGTGTACAGAACGCCCCCTGAAAATGCCATGTCCTGCTTGAGTGATTGGCTTACTGATTTTCCCAGAAGCCTGCACTAAGATACATTTCAATTTTTTTACACCCCCCCACAACAAAAATGTCATTTTTGGTGAAATACTCCCAAAGGGAAATCTCGTCTAAAGGGATGCAGGCCCTGCCCCATGTTTCCTTGTACTGCATGGTACAGTATAACCATTTAGCAAATTAGGCATAGGACAAAAACACAAAAATATCCATAAATGTTCCTTAACCCCTTCCTGCCCTGTCCACTGACCCTTTAATTAAGTCCTAACACCAGGAGGTAGGATGGACTTCCTGATCACATGATCACAGTGATTGGTTGGCACAGTGGTCACGTGAACAGGTGCCCGTTCTGCCTTCAACTGATCACAAACAGGAGCTGGGAACTGTCTGAGAGCATGCCATCACTGTGCTTGGAATATGCAGTGCATGAACATTCATCACAGAAAATCTCAGAAAACACAAGGGGGAGCCTCTAAGTGCAGTATTGATAAGTAATTTAACCACATGCCGCCCAGCCACTGTAGAAATACGGCGGCAGGGCGGCACGGCTGGGCAAAAGCACGTTTTTTGTTTTGAAAACAGGTAGGGGGCGCGCACGCCTACCTGTCCCGCCGATCACAGCCGCGGATGTCAGTTGCCGGGTCACAGCAGGTCGTTACCGGCTATGTCCCGGCGATCGGCGGCAATCGCTGACAGAGAGCACAGCTGCAGTTGCTGTGCTTTCTGTCAGTTCCCTGACAGCTCCAGGACACACGCCGATCGGGACAGAAGAGTTTCTCTCTCCCGATCAGCGGTGTTCCCTGCAGTACACACCCCCGTCCCCTAGTAAAACAGTCCCCTCACACAGTTAACCCTTTCCCTGAATAATAAAGTTAACCCCTTCCTCCCCAGTGCATTAGTACAGTGTCAGTGTTTTTTTTTTTTGCACTGATCACTGTATTGATGTCACTGGGGATATCAGTGACCCCAAGTCAGTACCCCCCAATGTCAGAATGTCCGCTGCAGTCACGTAGTCCTGCCATAAGTCGCTGATCGCCGCCATAAGTCACTGATCGCCGCCATAAGTCGCTGATCGCCGCCATTATTAGTATAAAAAAAAACCTAAAAATCCCAGTATCTTTCCCGCCATTTGTAAATGCTATAACTTTCACGTAAACCAATTAATTTACACGTATTTGGTTTTTTTTTTAGCAAAGACGCGTCGCAGAATGCATTTTGGCCGAAATTTATGACAAAATTTGATTTTTACATTTTTTTTTACTGTACATTTTTTATAGCAAAAAGTCCAAAATATTGTTTTTTTTCCTCAAAATTGTCAGCCTTTTTTTTTTAGCGCAAAAAATAAAAACCACACAGGCGATCAAATACCACCAAAAGAAAGCTCAATTTGTGGGAAAAAAAAGGAATGTAAATTTCATTTATGTACTGTTTTGCATGACCGCGCAATTGTCCGTTAAACTAGCACAGTGCTGTATAGCAAAAAAATGGTGTAAATTGCAGTATCTACACCATAGTTTGTAAATGCTATAACTTTCACACAAAGCAATCAATATACACTTATTGGGATTTTTTTTACCAAAAACATGTAGCAGAATACATTTTGGCCTAAATTTATAACCAACTTTGAGTTTACTATATATTTTTTATAGCTGAAAGTAAAAAATATCGTTTTTCTTCCAAATTTTTGGCTTTTTTTGTTTATAGCGTGAAAAATAAAAAGCGCACAGGTGATCAAATACCACCAAAAGAAAACTCTATTTGTGTGAAAAAAAAGGACATAACATTTAGTTTGGGTGCAGCATTGCATGACCGCGCAATTATCAGTTGAATTAGTGCAGCGCCGAGTAGCAAAAAGAGGCCTGGTCATTAAGGGGGGTAAATCCTCTGGAGGTCAAGTGGTTAATAATCCATACATAAAATACTCACATGTGTGAAGAAGATAAAAAGCCTGGAATTAGATGGGGACCATAGCCACTCTGTTAGCCACTGTTTAGATGGTATGGTGGGTTGGCATCCAGGGCCCAATGGAGACTAAACCAGGGTGGATGTCAGCATTCCACTGAAGCACTGGCTCCTATTGACAGAGAAGACCGAAGAACTGGAAGTGATGTCAGGGAAACCACTGTTGTGGAAACCAGAAATGGCGTCAGAGGGAGATCCATAGCCTAGGTAACGCGTTTCAGAGCACCAATAGCTCTCTTTGTCAAACCTAATATTATCACAGAAATCTCATCCACCATGTACACACATGTGTGGTGTGTGGACACACCCATCCCCCGTCCTGATGTTGCACATACAGTATGATTTACATGGTCGGCAAGAGATTTTGACCTAAACAATCTTTGGAAATAAAAACATACAAACTAATGCAATGTATCAAAAATGCACTAAATATAAGATAAAGATATAGCAAGCTGTCTATGGTTCTCAATAAAAAATACTGAACAAGAAAAAGAATATACTGTATTGCTGGAAGCTTGAAATTTTGTGAGAATGCTCTACAGCTCAGTGCAGGAGCACATTTTTGAGGGATTTTGAGTACTCTGCTTTTTTTGGGAGGCAATGGTGAGGCACAAGGATGTTGCCGACACCTTTACAAAGTGGATGAAAAGCAGGGTTTAAGGTATTTTTAATTTTTTTTCTAAAACTATTTTTTGGCAGACTTTATTATTATTATTATTATTATTAGTCATTAACAAAGTATTTGCATCCTTGGTCCAATCTTTTATTTTCTTTCCCTATAGCAGAACCTCCAATGTTTTCTTTTTTCCTGAATGTGAGTGTGCAGGTGGATCCTAGAGCAGTGTCATGTCTACCTTTTTCAATCTCACTAGTCGGCATGCTATTCAT